CGCCGCTCCGTCCAATGCTCCCCGCTGTGGACCCTGGCCGGCGGCTCTGACTGCCCACCTTGCGGAACATGCGGAAGCTGCGGGCTGCCGCCGTCGTCGCCGTCATGGTGCGTAGACGCGCGCTGCCGCCGGCGCTTGCGCCGCCGCCGGCTCCCCGCGCGCCGCCGCCAGTCGTACCCGCCGTCGTCGGAGAGCTGTACGGCGTGCCGGACGCCTCCGTATGGTCGTGCTCTGTGAAGCGGTCCGTGTCCGAGTAATTGTCGTCGTCATCCATCAGGCCGCTGCCGCCGCCGCCGCTGGCGCGCCGTGGGGCCGTCAGCGCCGTCAGCAGCGCCGCCGGCAGCGCCGTCTTAAGCAGGGGCGGGGGCGGCGGCGGCGGCGGTCCCCCGCCGCCGCCGCTGCCGCCAGACGGATCATTGCCGCTAGCGGCGCCGCCAGCCGCGCCGCGACCGCCGGCGCCGGAGGCGTCATTGGCTCCGAAGGCCAGCTCCAGTGGCGGCCGTACGAGTGAGTACTCCTCGCCGTTGCTGAGGTCTCGGCTTGAGAGGGGTAAGGAGAGGGTGAAGGACATCCGGGAGTCCCCGGTCATCTCTCCCAGGCTGCTGCAGCCGTGCTCGCCGAGGAGGTCCCCCCGAGCTGGGTGGAGGTGGTGGTGGTGCTGCTGCTGGGGGCCTTGATGAGGCGCGGCACCCAGCAACTGAGCCCGGAGGGAGCGCATCTCCGACAGCACCACCTACAGAGGCAATGAAGGCGGCCGCGGCCGAGTGTTGTTGTTGTTGCACGAGTCGGTGGCGATGGCGGTACGGCATGTACGGGAATGGCGAAAAGAAAATGATGATGGGTTCGAAGAAGTGTGTGCGTGGCGTGAGAGGGACATATGTCGTCGGCGAGACGTATGGTGATGCAGCAGCAGCAGGCGGGGAGGGCGGTGATGGAGGCCTGAAGGGACTTAAGAAGGGACTTCACAAGGCGGCCTCCTGTTCCGTGTGGGACCTCGTACGGGACCTGCGCTGGATGATCTCCTCCTCCCTCCGCTTCCTACCCTCCTACCCTCCCCTCCGTACTCTTCCACTCAGCCGTACGCCCGCACTCAGCCCCTCCTCGGCCCCACTCCTCACATTCACGGAAGGCCGCTGCATGGGCAGGGGCGCCCAGCACCGCCTGGCCAGCTGGATGTACCCGGCAGGGAGCTCCGTACTGAACGGCAGCTGCTCGTCCAGGGAACCGATTTCCTTCACGCGCAGGACCTGCTGCTTGGGCAGCAGCGGCAGCACCGGCCGCACAGGAGGAAGGAAGGAGGGAGGGGGCCGTAAAAGACGAACCACGGACGGAGATTGAAGCAGATCCCGGAAATAGGCGGGTAGGAAGGCGGGGGTGGTGGGAGATGGGAGGGGGTTGGGGGGTGGAGGGGGCTGGCCAAACGGAGGAGGAGAAGGTTGGCTACGATGGTGTGCAAAGCTCTCGATGCTAGGACGGGGGGGGGGGGAAATGGGTTAGGATGGGGGGGAACGTCAAAAAGGGGGAGGGGGGCCAGGAGCTATACTCAATAGGACGCATCGTCCACAACATCACAGCAATATCAGGATCATCAACGGCCGGAGCAACGAGCCAGAGCAATTCGGTTCGGGGGTGGAGAGGAAGGAAAAGGGGTAGGTAGATAGGCGGGGAGTGGGGGACGTGGTGGAGCCGCCAAGCAGCGGGAAGAGGAAACACCATTTTCTCCTCCTTTCCCTCCCCCCACACACCCGCCCTTGTCCATCCCCTTCCGGCTAGTGCCCCCCCACACACCCACCCACT